GAGAGAGAGAGAGAGAGAGAGAGAGAGAGAGAGAGAGAGAGAGAGAGAGAGAGAGAGAGAGAGAGAGAGAGAGAGAGAGAAGATGTTGGTCAGATCTGAGATCCCATCTCAGATCTGGTCCTGACCAGATCTCAGATCTGTTCTTAGTACTGCTTACACAGATCTGAATAACTTAACAGTTTAAATTTTCATATGAATATGAATATGAATTAGAAAGTCTAACTTCAAAGTTCAAAGTTCTGTTTCTTTCTGATTTTCGTACTCTTTTCTGAAGTGACTTGGGATTGGTCTGTTGAGAACTGGTTTCAAGTGTTGTGTGAGCCTTTGTGAATGCCTGTGACAGTATTGAGCTGTCAAGTTGTGAATAATGAAAGACAGTAAGCTGTGTTTAGTACTGTTTACTACTCTCTTTTTTTTTCTTTTTTTTTTTCTTTCGGTCCGGACATTTTTGTGTCTGGTGTACCGGTCCGGAAGGTCTGGGTCCGGTCCTGTCCGGTTGTCCGGTGCCTGTCCGGATTACTGAACGTCTGGACCAGTCCAGACAAATGCCTGGGCCTTGGTCCAGACATGTCCAGGTCCGGGTCCACGATTGCCATGCATCAATCAGTCCATCAAAAACCGGCCGTCTGACCAGCCGCCTGACCACCCCGCCGGCTGGCTGCCTGACCGACTGCCAGACCGACAGAGTGAGTGACCGAGTGAGCAACCGAAGGACTGGGCAGCCAACAGAGTGACCGACTGACCAACCCACCAACCCACCAACCCACCAACCCACCGACCGACCAACTAACCAAGGAAGCGACCAAGCATGCAACCAATCAATCAATCAAGTTGAATGAAACCATTCAAACCAATGAATAAAACAATTCATCCAATAATCAAATCGATTGATCAAACCATCCATAGACCAAATAAAAAAATCGATCCGTTGCATGATGAATCGACTTATTGATCCTTTTCGACCTTCTGTCCACAAATCAATTACCGGCTGAGAACCTCACCCAAAGAGCAACCAACCAGTTAGCAATCCACTTTCGCAGCCCTGATCTCAATCACAATGGGAAGAACTTCTCAAAGCAAACGGAAACAAGCCCTGCAATCCGAAATCTTGTCAAATAAAGGCATACAGTGTTCTCCACACATAAACCACATAGCAGAACGTTTTTTCCATTCAGGTCATGACCAGTGTAAACATACCTACACACTGCTTATAAGAATAAGCCAACAAAATTACATAAGACTTTACCTGTGTTCAGGAAGACTACACGCCTCTCCGGCTTCAGCACCTGTGTGATGACGACATGCAGAGTTGGGGAAAGAATTTCATAGTTATTCCCATTCGAATCCATCCCGTTCGTTAATCTCAAATTAGACAGGAAGGGGAGGGAGAGAGAGGGGAAGGGGGGTTGGAGGGAGGGAATACCATGCAGCCCCCTTCCACCATACAGTACCTTCTCTCTCTCTCTCTCTCTCTCTCTCTCTCTCTCTCTCTCTCTCTCTCTCTCTCTNCTCTCTCTCTCTCTCTCTCTCTCTCTCTCTCTCTCTCTCTCTCTCTCTCTCTCTCTCTCTCTCTCTCTCTCTCTCTCTCTGGCGCGCGCACGCGCGGAGTGCCTGTGTGGCAGTGTGTGCATGTGTGCATGTGCAGCCTGTGTGCGCTGCCCTGTGGTGTGATCACAAGATCAGACAGTTGTCATCGGGCATGAAAAATAGTGCAAGAATATGCCCGTCTCCATCAATTCCCCAAGTGTTTTCAGATGGAAGAAGGGATGTAGAACTGACTTAGCACACACTAGATGCTGTGATGGCTAGGCTAACTCACACAAGACCATGAGTGCCCAAAAGCAAAACTTTATATTGGGGGGAAAACAACAGTTCCAGAGAGAGGAAGAACAGATTCGGGTCATTGAATGAATGTGCTCGAAATACTTCTAAGGTCAGCCAGGCCATCAACCATGTGGTTACAGTGGACATTGAGAGATTCAAGTCGACATTGAGTTCATAGACCAACCACTCATCTTCACAATTGGATTGAACACTGCATTGTGGTCCAGCTCCTGAAAACACAACTGCACATACAAATAGCAACAGCTCAGTAGAGCTTCCCAACAGGCGAAGGAAGGCGCCCGCGCCGTTCCGGTGAGCGCTGCGATGGTCCGCTAAACTCCGCGCCGGTGTTGCTGCAAGTTTCGTACGGACGCAGCAACCCAAGCGCGCTCTTGAAGCGCATCTGTGTTCACGCGCACTCTCCAACATTCGGATTCGCATGGAGGTGGGAGGGGGAGCTCAAGGCAAAAACAAGTGAAGCCACGTCATGCCACGCCCCAGGGCGTGGCGCCTCCGAGTGCAAACAGTCACAAGAGAGGGAAAGAAGAGGAAGAGGGAGGAATGCGACAATAAGGAGGAGAGAAAAGGAGGAGCAAGTCACACCTAAGAAGAGGAAAGGACAAGGGTTTGGGAGGGAAACGAAAGCCTGGTGGAATGGTTTCCAAACAAGGGAAAAGGAAGTGGAAAGACAAGCACAGCAATCATCACACAACGAGGAAGGGAGCGACACTAAAACCAAGCGTACAATCATTGCGCTCCACAAGGTGCGAACAGTCCTTTCCACAATTCGAAGATAAGAACCGGGTACACCTCCACATCCACCATCACCATGCGCAAGAGACAGCACGAGGACCACAGCAAAGACAAGCTTCCAAAGGAGCAACTGCCGAGAGCCGAGAACAAACGACAACCTAACAGACCTAGTAATCATCCCGTGTGTCTTTGCCCGTTTTTTAGAGGGACTGAAGGGACAAACACAGGGGTGGTATTCACTGTCTATAGCATTGATCGCACGGTAGAGCTTCGTTCACCACCACGTTCTCCAGAAGGTAGACAAGGACGGCGTTGAAGGAGTGCGCTCTAAGGACCAATCTACCTCGGATCAACCACTCACGAAGCTGACCCGCAAAGGAATCCCCACCCGCTGGTGCAACCGAACGCAACTGTACTCCGGAATTTTTTTTAGCGTCCTTACCATCTTCTCCAGCAAGAAAGCGCTCGATTCACCCACTCCATAGTCCGCACCCTCACAGCGTACACTCGCCAACCATCCAGACACCAACTCACCCTAACCCTTGCCCCCCGACTGAAACGATGTACCCATCCTTCACCCCCCACATCGCTCCCGATCCCCTTCACAATCCCCCCAGACTACCCCCCCCTACGCCCCTAGAGAACCCTCCACCCAATCAATACACGTCCCACCCATCACATTCACCTCTAGCCACCAAAGGAAAACTCACCCCAGAGACGCGAAAGCTCCACCAGAGACCACCAAAGGAATCAAAGAGCACATTCGATTCACAGGCAACCCGCCTAATGGCCAACCCAATCAGCCTATATTATTTATCTTCCTTATTCCCTAACTAGCCATTGTATTTTTCTCAATTATGTCTTGTCATATTCCTACATTATAGCGCCAATTAACTTGCTTTAGGTCACAAAATAACTTTAAATAAGTCAAAGAAGGGTAACCAAGCAAGGATCTTTGAGTTAATTACTTAACACCCACTACTTCATTATTTCCAGAATTCCCTTCCACATTGCTTTTCATACGAGACCGAGTACATCGAGGAATCATCTCGCCGCTGTCCACGATCCCCAGGTGGGGAGGGAAAGTGCTGCACATTTTTCGGACAAACTGTACTTCCATAATTCATGCATCTTTGCTTGACCATAGCCCCGATCCCCAGGCGGGGAGGGGAAACACTGCAAAGTTTCGTGCAGGTTATAAGTACTTTTCCTCCGATCCGCTGAAAACCCAGACACGAGCGACACGAACATCCTGCCAGTTTTTCGACAATTGAACCTTGAGAGGACTGTTCTCTTCACTACCCACTACCCTCAGGAAAGGAGAGAGAGGGCCGGATTTTTTGTCAGACAACCTGCAAATTTGCGATTACTAGAAATTGCATAAGAATTTGAAGTTTGGATTTTCCTGAAGGACGATGTCCAATCAGCAATGAACATGGAGAACTTGGGAGACAAGTCTCATCAACTTTCATGGCGATTAAAACTGTAAATGAAAATGAAGAATGATGCTGCCAGTGTTCCCACCTCATTCAGCCATGGCGCAAATTCAAATTGGCCTGAGGCTTGCCATGCTGGGAGATGAAGCATAGCCTTAGCGACGTCTGGCGAGCCACACCTTAGCCGCATGTCATAAACAAGTTTATTGCTCAGGAGCATTATGTCTTCCGACATCCGATACTGCATAAAAAGTTAAAAACGCAAGCATAACAAATTAGTCCCATAAACTTTGGTGTTATGGGTAGATTAAGTCAAAACAAATTAGTCCGATAAACTTCGGTGTTATGGGTAGATTAAGTCAAACAAACGTTGAAACTACTACATAAATAAGTGCCATAAACTATGGAAGTAGTAAATGACATGTGAACTACAACAGGAGATACCGTGGCAAAATCCCAAGCAATGAAAGAAAGAACAGTGCAGTCCTTCAGGACATCTGTTCTTGGGATTATACAGAGAATAACAGACAACTCAAAAAATGGTCCCACAAAAAAGAAAAAGAAAAAGAACAAGAAAAAGAAAAAGAAAAAGAAAAAGAAAAAGAAAAAGAAAGGAAAAAAGGAAACGAAGAAGAAAAACAAAGAAGTGTACAGAATGGTTTCAGTGTGCCTCATGCGGTCTGCTCATTCCTTCATTTGTTTTGCAAGGTGCACTGTCTTAGGTGATAGATCTGTGACAATATATTTCATTTCTATAGAATTTACACTAGTAAAAGACAAGCTGCTGCGGAGCATTATGTCTTCTGACGTCGGCAAAACAAAATTGAGACTACTATGCAAACTATGGAAGTGGTAAACAGCGTGTAAACTATGACCAAGTCAAACTAAGCACTTGGCCCTTGACAAGCTGAAGTTATTGTAAGCACATGAGGACTTCATTGGATGTATCTGACTGCAATTACGGATACCCATGGGTGAATCTGACTACAATTACGGATACCCATGGGTGTATCTGACCGCAATTACGTCCATACTACTCCATAGCTGAGTAGAAAAGATATTCAAAAGATCCTAGTATGTGTATCCTCTAAGCCTTAGCAGCAAATTTTCTCTCTTTTTTGCTGCTCTAGGTTGCAGAGTGTATTTATTAGCCTGAATAGGAGTAGTGACGTTATTAGTTTTAAGTAATCTATCGCAAAGCCTGTGATGCATGAATGTATTCAAATTCTTTCTTAGAATACACAAAGAAAATACAAAGATGCAACTTTTTTCAATTCTTACTTTACTTACATATGTAATTAGTAGCTGAATTCCCATTTTGTATACTTTATTTCCTAGATTATTCCGTTTATTTAAAACTCCTGCTGCAAATGTAAGCTTGGCGTAAAACTCCAGTGTCTTCTGAGCCGTTCTGACATTTGAGGAAATATTGGCAACCAAACAATTGAGAAGGGTGGTGGCAGCCATGTTTATCAATTATTAGCTCTTCGGCAATAGATACTACCGCAGTGCTGTAAGCCCGGTAGGATCCGGGAACCGGGGGGCGTCCCCCAACTGGAACCGGGCCGGTAATACCGGCCGGTCGACCAGGCCGGTTGCCCCCCGGTTGGCCATAGCGCATCCAACCTGGGGGGTCTTACCGTTTTTTTTTTTGGGCCAGGTGGCCTCCACACAGGCTGTGGAGGTCTCCTGGCCCAAAACAAATCAGACCAGGTCCGGTAGGCCTGCCAAAAGGGATTGAAAAGAGCAGCCTATCCGGACCACTGATTTCGAGAGATCGTCGGCCCAGATAGGCCGCCCTTTCAAAGCTTTCGGGCGGGAAGTACCGGCCCTACCCCCCCCATCAACCTACCTCTTCCCTCCCCAGCCTCTGCCCTCCTGCTGCCCCCAACCTGCCGCCCGTTCCCTCCCCTACCCATTCGACCTTCGATAGTCCACCTGCCTGCGCACCCTCCCCGTTGCCTCTTCCCTCCCCGTTGCCTCCAGCTCCTCCGGCACGTCGAAGTGCGTGGAGCCCGTCGTCGTCGTCGCCACCATCCCCATGAGTTGCGACATTGCCCCCAGCCAGCGTGCCTCCGGTAAGTTATTAGTTAGTACCTGTTCTTCTTCTTCTTCTTCTTCTTCTTCTTCTTCTTCTTCTTCTTCTTCTTCTTCTTTTCTTCTTCTTCTAACGACCATGGTAGTCAGTGCGCTAGCGCTAGTTGGTGGGTGCGGTCGTTGCTGGGCGTGCAGCATTTGGCAGGCGTGCGGCAGTTGGCGCAGTGGTTAGTTGGAGAGAGAGAGAGAGAGAGAGAGAGAGAGAGAGAGAGAGAGAGAGAGAGAGAGAGAGAGAGAGAGAGAGAGAGAGAGAGAGAGAGAGAGAGAGAGAGAGAGAGAGAAGCCCCCCAAATGCCCCAAACGAAAGTTATCTGTTCAAAGTTTTTTTTTGCGGATTCGGGGAGATCTCGGCGAGCGCAGTCTACAGGCTCGGTATTAATTTGTCCAAAGACCTCTAGATTTAGGTTCTTTAGCTCTTTCCGATTCTGACAGACAGTTATGCAGAAATCACAAGTTGTATAGATCCACTTTGAAGACAAAAATTGTGGATGAAACACCTCTGGTTTACTGTATAGCTCACTTGGGGTTCTCATATCTACCGATAAGTTATAAATACTTAGTCTTTTCTGGAGAAAAATCCAAGTCTTCAGATTCCTTACCAGAATAGAAGACCTGGTCATTTGATAAAAAACAAAAAAAACAGAACCTTGCAGGTTCTTGCTCCTTTCCATTCTGGGGAGCATCAGTTCGGTTCCTATTCCACCCGGTCATTATAGCTGTATTTGGGGCAATTTTCGGACCAGATGCAGCGATAATGACCGGGCGTTTTATTCGGGTGAAGACTGACTATTGAACATTTGCCCACATTCCATAGCAATCCGGATGACCATTTAGAAAGCCATACTGGACCTCGTTCTGGTGGTTCTGAGCTACTGCAGAAGCAGAAACGCTCTAGAGGTCTGCAGTCCTCGCCACGTAAGCTCCAGTGCTACCCACTTTGCACTCTTCCACTGCCTCCCTCAGGCTCCCTCATCACCCACTCAAATCGCCAGTACCTGTAAACCCTAAACTCTGAAACCTGCTGCTGTGTTTCAATGCAGCAGGGCAACTCAGCTCGATGCCTGCACATTGGCATTCCCCCGTTTGGAAACCCAGTTCACTGTATGCAAAGAATGGAAAAACAGCAGAGTAAAATTTGGCATGCGGCAGTGTTGGACCCGCCGAAGGTCGGCGACCCTTGACTGGTCGGCTGCCGACCCGCCGACCGATCGGCTGGTCGGCACCTACCGGTCGCGGGTCATCGGCACCCCACACTTTTTTTTTTGAGGGGGGGGAGGGGGACGGTCCAGAACCCCCAATAACACCAAAAACACCCCAATAGCGGCCCCCAATACCCCTATACACCACCCCAACACCCCCGAACTGCCCCCAATATCCCCTATATCACCCCTATACTCCGCCTATACTCCAACCCATACCTGCGGCGCATCGCGTGCGCGCAAGCTCCGCACATGCAGCACATAGCACACGCATGTGATGCGGCGCACCCCAATAAATAAGGCAAAAAGAAAAGTTGGAGAGGGCTGGCTGAGGTAGCCAATGGTGCACCTCCGTTCTAAAATATCGACGGGCACAGAAAAAAAAAAAAATGGACCCATGTATTCCTTGTTGAATAATCTTTTTCCGGGAGGAGCTACCTGGCACCCTAGGCCGCGGCCGCAGGATCCGAGTCCGCAGCCAGGATCCTAGGCCGCAGGCCCGCGGCCGAGTCCGCGCGCGGCCGCGCCACGCGCAGGCGGGCGTGCGCCCTCAAAATCCGCGCGCCGTTGGCCTGCGCACGTGGGCCGCTGCAGGCCTATGCACAAAAAAAAAAAAATTCGAAAATTTGGGTGGGGGCTGATTTTTTATATGTTAAAAAAAAAATAAAAAAATAGAAAAAAATGTGATTGATTGATTGATTGATTGATTGATTGATTGATGATTGATTGATTGATTGATTGATTGATCGATTAAATGTTTGATTGATTGGTTGATTGATTGATTGATTGATTGATTGATTGATTGATTGGTTGGTTGGTTGGGGGAGGGTCGCCCATCCGCCCCCCC